TTCCGTTGTGCCTTAAGGGCTCACTCTCGAGCCCAACCAGCAGCCGCACAGCGGCGCATGATATATAGGCAGAATGGTATTACCGACAAAGACAAGGGAGACTGGAATGGCCATTTCTGGCTTATTAGCCGTCGTCAGTCAGTCATACCAAACCCCGATGTGTGGAACACCCGAGGCTCGAACTCGCGACCTGTTAGTTAGAAGTCCACGCCTCTAACCACTGGGCCACGAGTCCGTTGCCCTGTCGGTTTTCTATCGGGAATATACAATGGTAGGGGACGCTCACCGATCGAGTCCGAATGCTCAGGCAAATAAATCTACTGTTCAGTGATCGTTCCTTTGTCTTATTTTAAATACTGATGTCTTTGATGTCGTCTCACTATTCACCTCCATCCCTCAAAAATTGGCCATGAGATTTGTCGATGACCTATTGAAGAGAAGGTGCAATGAGGAAGGAAAACGTTTTAAGGGGAGGCACACGACTGAATTACCGGACTACTGTTCACGCACGTACTTTACGTTTAACGGCCAAATCTACGAGCAAATCCAACGAGCCCCAATGGGGTCCACAATCTCCGGCTACCTGGCTGAGACGGTTCCGCAGGAGCTGAAAACTCGGGTCTTCCAGACCTACAAGCCAAAATTCTGGATGCGCTACGTAGACGAAACCTTTGTCATTCTACAGCGAGACGCGAAAGACAACTTTAAATGAGAATTGGACTGGGTTTTTCCACAAATCCAATTTACCATGGAGGAAGAAAATAACGGCGTGCTCGCTTTCCTGGACGTCCAGATATCGAGGCAGGAAGGCGGAACCCTCCAGACTGGTGTCTTTAGAAAGACGACAGACACGGAGAAAATTCTCCACTACAACAGCAACCATCCCTTGTCGTATATGCGCAGTTGTGTCCGGACACTTTTCACCGCATCCACACACTGCAGCACTGAAGCCGAGAAGCTGCGGGAGCGTGAAACCCTATGGCACCTCTTCCTTGTCAATCGATATCCGCGCAGTTTTGTTAACAAATGCTTATACCAAAGACATACGAGGGCCGACCGTGAGAACACGCAAAGACCAGAAATCATTCGCGTTCTACCTTACGTGAGAAACGTCTCCGAAGCCACTGAACGCATGCTTAGGCCACTAAGCGTAGGCGTTGGACACCGACCGGAGTTCACTATCCGCCGCTTACTCATGCAACCCAAGGACCGGCTACCACCTGCAGACACATCAGACGTCATTTACCGCGTCAAATGTCTGGACTGTCTGGCCAACTACCTAACTGACTGAGCCCGACTGAGCACAACGCAATTACTCTGACTTGGTTACCATTTCGCAATTACCGTCTCTGACATTGATACTGGAACGGTACGTATAGAATTTCTTTGTGCATTTTTGGAATATTTCTTCACGCATCGAAATTCGCCAGGAACCTGGATTAAGTGCAATCTGTTTATCAGCACGGTCCAGCTGGGCGGGCTTTTGAATTTGAGCCGCCATTTTTGTAGCTCTCCATTCACGTGTGGATTTTTACTAATTGTACATTATTGTGCCTTTTCTCTTCGATATATTGAACTGTTTTGCACCTTTTGTTTGTCTGAACTAAGATTATGAGGTCGTCTCTACAGTACGCTAGCACCTTTTTGAATGGCATTAAATCGTCAATTTCACTTACGAACGACCATGATGCAAACTGTTGTACTTTACGGGCAATATGTCGTAGTTGCGATCGTTCTGTGTTGAATTTATCAAATATTCGTCAACAACGGCCTATGCATCGGAGAAAACACCGGTGTGGCTGGCAATTCGCATTTAAACGTCAGCCAAATCACAAATTGTCAATTTCTGCCTTCTTGTCGACAAACTGTCGTTCTATTTTCAACAAAGCCCATGATTTGGAGCTACTTTTATCGAAAAAAGAACACAGCAAAACTGAAGTTGTCTGCCTTCAAGAGACGTGGCTAAATAGTGACATTGATTCGCAAATTATTACTCCCCAGCCTTCTACTGCTTTCGAACAGATAGAAAATCTTTATCATGTGGCAGAGGTGGAGGCGTTGCCATTTTCGTTAATCAAAATTGGTGTAGAGACTGTAAGTCCCTTTTTTTCTTACTCTCATGATTTGATAGACGTAATCGTTGTTTTATGTAAGCCCCGTTTGTTAAGTAATTTTAAAGGCATCATATTTGTTAGTATTTACATTCCCCCCTCTTCCTGTGAAGGCGCATTAACCCGTTTTTTCGACTTCCTCTCACAAAAACTTGCTGTATTATCCTGCGACTATCTTACTCTCTTATGCGGTGATTTTAATCGCGTGAATTTACGCCCCCTTACACTTTTAGGCTTCGATGATCTTGTCTCCTTTAATACTCGCGCAGATGCCCCTCTTGATCATATTCTGACTAACCACAGCAAGCTTTTTTGCGTAAAAAACAGGGCCCAATTGTGAGGTTCTGACAATTCCACTTTATTGTGTCTTCCAAAAATCTATTCCATTTCAAAACGAGCACTGCTTGCCAAGCCTGAGAGAAAGGTTAAGGTTCGCAATACGTCCGCCCAAAACATTCTCATGCTTCAGAATTGCATTTCTCTAACTATCCCCACTTTCCTTGAACATTCTAATGTTGAATCCTGTTCTTCCAACCTGACAGCGTTTTTAAATGAAATTTTCGATATTTGCTGCCCTTTTGATACTGTTATGGTACGAACGGATAGAATTTCTTCCCCCTATCTGAAATCGTTAAGACGTAAAAAAAGAACTCCTTTACAAGCTAGGCTTACGTGATAACCTTAAGGACGTTACCGTCTTAATAAAAACAGAGATTGACAGGCTAAATAGCCTGTTTGTCAGCCAACTTTTTTCCTCTTCTTACTCTCCCCCTTTCCCCCCTTCCTCAGCTGAGGTTTGGAAAAATCTTAAGCGTCTTACTGGCCATCGCAACACGCTGGTGCATGTGGATGCAGATTTAGACTCCCTAAATAAAAAAAAAATTATTGAGTCACAATGACTCCCATCTTCCCTTAGAAGACATTCCCCTATCACCGAGTACAAGACTGAAGGTAAGCGAACACAATGTGGATATCTTCAAAGGGAAGGTAGGTCGGAAATATATGCCGTTTCATTGGAACCTGCCTGTAATACTAAGAACGACGGCAGATATTCAGTTAACACCGATACCTTCGCTTCTATTGGCGCCGATACCTTCGTTGAACCACCTGCTCAAGGCGGCAACACAAGTAAGCGCGTAACGTCCAGTGATCTAGCTGGGGCAACGCATATAAATGGAACCCATAAGGTTACGGAAGAGCCCAAAGAACATGGCGTCCGAGATAACGGAGTAATGCTCAAAACAGTAACAAATACAACGGGAAATTTGGCTGATACAAAACTGGGATGCTTGTACACGAATGCCCAAAGCCTCATATCGAAACTACAGGAGCTAAAAGTTTGCCTTGCCGAGCTGTCTCCAGATGTTTTAGCAGTAACCGAGACCTAGCTGTCCGGGAATACTAGCGATATCGAAGTAGCCTTGCCTAGATACCAAATTTATCGGAGGGACAGGGAACATCGTCAGGGTGGTGGTATAGTTGTGTATGTGAATGAAGGGCTGACGGTGTCGGAAAATACCACCAAGTTTGCGTGCGGCACCGAAGTTATTTGGTTGACCATCCAAGCTACCGGTTCCCCGTGTCTCGATGTCCTCCCTGTCTACCGACCACCTAGGACAGATTAAATCACCGGCACTCAACTATTGGAGCATTTGGAAAAATTTCCCAGTCGACCTAACATCATGATCATGGGCGACTTCAACGCACCAGGAATAAACTGGAATACCCTCCAAGCAACAGGTCCAAAATTGGCATTCGATTACCTTCTGCTGAACAAAACATTAAAGGCGTCCCTCAAAAAATGTAATGTTCCCAACGAGAACACGTGAAGGACAAAGGGCAAACTGCCTGGATCTGGTTTTCACGAAAACACCAGACAGCATAGACGAGATCACCTCCATGCCGCCCTTTGGCCGAAGTGATCACTTAGTGCCTATGTGGGAGTATTCGTTATTCGCCACTGCGCATACTCCAAACCAAAAAGACGGAATGTTTGGCGAGGCAACTTCAATCACATGAGGGCGGACTTATCCGGTTTCGATTGGAGCTCACTGTTTACGGGAAATGCCAACGATGACTGGGAGCCAACGATGACCGGGAAATGCCAACGATGACAAGCACTGCCCACTGACTAGTGTAAGACTGAAAAAATGCTCTGGGTGGCTAAATAGCAACCTTAAGGAAGAAATCGACAGGAGGCTTAAAATGTAGAGAAAATACAGCGTCACTGAGCAAGTTGAATATATCAACGCCCACAAGACACAGAGGAACAAACTGAAAAACCCTATCATGAAGACGCGGCGGGAATTCGAGAAGAACTTGCAACAAAAAGCAACGGAGAACCCAAAATTACTCTACAATTACCTCCGACGAAGTACTAGGAACAGGCTTCGAATCGCTTAATAAGGACTACTGATGGCGTTGAGATTGCTGATAGTAGGGATAAAGCTGCGTAGTTTTCACAGTTGTTCCAATCAATCTACCCAAACGAGGCAAGGTTCCTGCCTCCCAACACAGAAGAACTGCCGACCCTAAGAGTCAGTGATACACTCTTCTCAGAAGACATTGTCCGAAGAGAATTTGAGGCATTGGACGAATCGAAGTTGCCAGGACCAGGCGAGATTCCACCCAAGCTTCTCAAGGAACTTGCCAGTGAGCTTTCTGTGCCTTCGTTGATGCTCTTTCAAACGTCATTTGACACTGGAGCACTGCCTATCGATTGGAAGCTGATGCATATTACTCCGCTACACAAAGGAGGTAACAGGGCCGCGACGACAAATTACAGGCCCATAAGCTTGACATGCATTCTCTGCAAAGTTATGGAAAGGATCATAAAGAGTGAACTGATGCAATTCCTGGAAGTTCACGGCGTGCTATCGAAATGCCAGCATGGGTTCCGGAAAGGAAGATCCTGTACGACAGACTTGCTACAATCTCTCCAGAGCTGGACCCGAGCTCTCGACGACAGGCACGCGGTCCACATCAACTTCCAGAAGGCGTTCGACACTGTGCCACACCAGAGGCTCTTACAGTGACAACTTCCTTAAACGGATTGAAAACTTCCTTTTGGGTCGACATCAGGTTGTCTGCATCAGTCGGGGAAAATCAGACCCTGCTATGGTCGAGAATGGTGTCCCCCAGGGTTCAGTACTGGGACCCATTTTGTTCCTTATCTACGTGGACGATGCTGCAAGAGAATTAGACTGGGAAGTATCAATGTTTGCCGATGACACGAAGATATGGAGTGTAATTCGGGGTCCTGCCGACGAAGACAGGCTGCAGATGAACTTGAATCGGTTGGAGGAGTGGTCAAACCGTTGGCTCCTGCGTTTCGACGTTAAGAAATGGGGCATACTTCGCCTAGACAACATAACTAGATCCGCCAGCACAAGAGACTACTTTTTGGGCGCTGCAGCCTTAAAAGAATTCGAAGCCCAAAAGGACCTCGCTGTACTGATGACGATTTCCCTAAAGTCACCCGCCCATTGTTCGAGAATGTCAAAAAGCGCAATTTCCGTACTGTACGCCATCGAGCGTGCGTTGATGGACTTTGACGAAGATGCTTTCTCACAGACATTCGGAACATTCGTCCGGGCGCATTTAGAGTACGGCATACAAGCCTGGAGACCGTGGGCGGTTGAGGATCAAAGTTGTCTCGAAAGAGTTCAGAGGAGAGCCACGAAGATGGTTAGGGGTCAAAGCTCCTTCCTCTATGCAACTCGCCTAGTAAATCTGAACCTCTTTCCCTTGAGTTACAGGCAACTTCGCTGGAATTCCTTGTGAGCCTTCCGCATTGTAAAGGGGTTGGATTGCAGTCTGGCCTTCGAGGACTTTTTTAAATTTGCTGCCACGACCAACCTCCGTGGTCACCCGTTTACACTGCGCACTCAGCGGGCAAGGCTGGATGTGCAGAAGTTCTCCTTCTCTGTTCGGGTGGTCAAACCATGGAATGCCCTCCCCGCTGCTGTTGTGATATCACCATCTAAACGAAGTTTTAAAAAGAATCTTGACATATTCATGTTCTGTTATGGCTAATATCCGAACTCATCGCCTGTAAATCACTCCCATTTTGTCCTACCATTATGGGCCCGTTCGAACAATTGCAGCCCAGCAAATTTTTCTCTACACTACACATTTGACCTTGAAAATAGGGTACTCAAAGGCTTACGCCTATTTCCCTTAATAAACTGAACTGATCTGTCACCCCAAAATTCTATATAGCTATATACGGTCTGTTAAAAGAATTCAGGAACTGATCCCTCCCCTTATGTCTTCAGACGGGAAACTGGAAACTGACGGCCAGGTCACAGCGTCCATCGTTTATAATTTCTTTGAGTCCGAAAATTCTATATGGTTATATACGATGTACTAAAAGGACTCAGGAGCTCATCCCTGCCCTCAGGTCTGTAGATCGAAAAGTGGAGATTGATGACCAGGTTAAAGCGTCCCTCCTTTTCGACTTCTTTCAGTCCGTCTTCACCCGAGAACCTAGTTCTATATTTGCCCATCCATCCATTCGCCAACCAACCTCTCCTCCCAGTACCCTTTCCCCTCCTACCCTCCTTAACCGAGGCACCACTCTTTTCATCTACCATAGTTAGGGCCGAGTTACTCCGGTTGAAACCTGCCAAATCGCCTGGCCCAGAGAGAATTCCCGCCCTAGCACTTCGTGAACTTGCTAATGAACTGTGCAAACCCTTATCCGCAATATTTCAAAAGTCTTTTGAAGACGGCGAGCTACCGGAAGAACGGAAGTGCGCACTCATTACTCCGATCCATAAAGGAGGCTCAAGACTTGACTGCGGAAATTATCGTCCTGTCAGTCTTACCTGCATCGCGTGTAAAATAATGGAACGTATTATCAAAAGACACTTGATGAAATACCTGGAACAGAACAAAATATTGTGTGATGCCCAACACGGCTTTCGTCCGGGGCGCTCCTGCCTAACGAGTATTCTTTACTCGCACGAGAAATGGACACGAGCTACCGATAAGGGTTTTCCAGTAGATGTTGTATTTTTTGACTTCAAGAAGGCCTTTGACAATGTCCCACACAAGCTTCTTTTACAGAAGATCTGGGATGTAGAATTCAAGGGAAAATGTTTAAGTGGATCAGGAGTTTTCTGTCCTCCAGACTACAAAGAGTCGTCGTTAGTAATTCTGCCTCGTCATGGGTAAAGGTGGAAAGTGGTGTCCCACAGGGTTCTGTCTTAGGCCCAGTACTCTTCCTGATTTATGTTAATGACTGCATCAGCGAAGTGAATTGCGAGGCTCTCATGTTCGCGGATGACCTAAAAATATGGAGTGAAGTCAAGTGTGATGATGACGCAGAGAAGTTGCAGTCGAACATCAACAAACTGTGTGCTTGGTCGAACAGATGGCTTTTGAAGTTTAACGTGTCCAAATGCGTGGTTTTGCACCTGAACACCGGCCGCAATGCGTCTCCCAAACACCAGTACTATATTGACGGGACAAGGTTAGAAACTGTGGAAAGACACAGAGATCTGGGTGTATGGACGACCACAAATCTATCGCCATCAGAACACTGTAGAAAGATGCTCCAGAAGGCAACTAGTACTCTACACTGGATCAGACGTGCATTTAAAATATTTCCTCCCGAACTTTTCGAAAGACTCTTTGGTGTCTTTGTAAGACCTCATCTAGAGTATGGAATGCCAGCAGCTTCACCATGGATGAGGAAGGATATCAACTTACTCGAACAGGTGCAACGCAGAGCGACAAAGATGGTCGACGGTTTGAAGCATTTGTCTTATCAGGAGAGGCTAAATTTGCTTGGCCTATTCCCTCTCTCGTATAGACAAATAAACTGCAGTCTACTCTGGACGTTCCGTATTGTTCGCGGCAAGGGTTGCTCATTAAGAGCAGAGGACTTCTTTGAGTTCGCCTGTACAAACCAACTACGCGGCCATGCATACAAAGTCGGGAATGAGCGCACGCGTTTAGACCGACGAATATTTTCATTCAGCCAGCGGGTTGTCAGGCCGTGGAACTCGCTTCAAAGTGAGATGGTGACGGCTGACACAGATTGTGTGCTTAAAAGAAAGCTTGCTCGTCTAGTTTTCGACAGAAATCGGCTTGTACAGCATGACTATGCACAGTCAGTTTTGTAAAATCTGTCATATACAATCTTCCGCACTAATTTACAGTGACCCTATGCACTACTTTATGATTACGATTGAACTGTGACCCAATCACATTTTAAATTCCTGCAATTTTATTTTATTTTTGATTATGAATCTGCGAAAGCACTGTACATAAAGGGTTCTGCCTGTAACCCTTCAATATATACATATACATACGTATGAATTTGAAAACAGGCATCCCAAGAATCATAATTCGAAAGAAATAAGCTCTTTGGGAAAGATTAACAATTTTTATTGTAAATTTTCGATCTTGGTTCCCCAAGTCGTCTTCAGACGTGGAATAAGTGTGCAAAACAGTCAACATTTAAACGTGCCGAAAAATCGATTTTGCCTTGTCATTCCTGCTGGTGTCTTGTTCTGATTGGCTAATGCCTTTTCCACTTTTCCTTGAGGCTGTTGTACACCGTATACATACATATACGTCTTTACCCAAGAACCTAATTCATTATTTGTTCCTCCTACCCTCCCTCTCTTTTCTCCCCCTCTTTCCCCTCCTACCCTCCTCTTTCGAGGAACTACACTTTTCATAGGCCATGGTTAAAGCCGAATTACTCTGACTGAAGCCTACCTAATCGTCTGGTTCAGATCGAATTCCTGCATTAGCACTTCGAGAACTCGCTGATGAACTGTGCGAACCACTGCTTATAATATTCCTAAAGTCACTTGAAGGAGGCAAACTCCCAGAAAAATGGAAGCGCACATTCATCATCCCGATCCACAAAGGAGTTTTAAGACATGACTGAGAAAGTTATCGACCTGCCAGCCTAACTTGCATCGCGTATATTATAATGGTGGATATTATCAAAAAACATTTGGTGAAATACCAGGAGAAAACATGGCTTTCGCCCAGTACGTTCTCGCCCTATGAGTGTTCTTTACCTGCATGACAAGTGGACAAAGGCCACAGATAAAGGTTATTCAGTAGGTGTCACATTTTATCCTTCAAGAGGGCCTTTGATGGCGTCCCAAACAGAGTTCTTTTACAGAAGATTTGGGGTGTAGGAAGGATGTTTACATAGATCAGGAGTTTCCTATCCTCCAGAGTACAGGGAGTCGTCGTTGAGGACTTTACTTTGGAATGGGAAAAAGTTGAGTGTTGAGTCCCTCGGGGTTCCGTTTTAGGTCTACTATTCTTCCCGATTCATGGGAATGATTACACCTGCAAACTAGAATGCGAGGCCCTAATGTTTGCGGATGACATAAAAATATGGAGTGAAGTCAAACGCATTAATGATGAAAAAAAGTTGCAGTCGAAGATCGCAACCTGAGTGTTTGGTCAAACAGATAGCTTTTGAAGTCTACCGTGTCCAAATGCGCCGTCTTGCATCTAAACACCGGTCGAAATGCCTCTTCCAAACATTAGTATCACATTAACGGGACGGCGTTAGAAACTGTAGAAAGACACAGAGCTCTGGGTGTATGGACGACCGCAAATCTAATCCCACCAGAGCACTGCAGAAAGATGGTCCAGAAGGCAAGTAGTACTTTACACTAGATGAGACATGCATTTAAACTAGGCCCTCTCTAACTCTTCGGAAGATTTTTCAGTGTCTTTTTGAGACTCCGCCTGGAATATGGAAGGCTAGCAGGTTCAGCATAGATGAGGATGAAAATTGTGTACTCGAACAGGTACAACGCAGAGCAACGTGGATGGTCGATGGTTTAAAGCTTTTGTCGTAATACGAGAGGCAAAATGCGCTTGGCTTATTCCCACTATCTTATAAACAACCAAACGGCAGTCAACTTTGGACATTCCGAATTGTTCGAGGCCAAGATTGTTCCATGAGTCCGGAGGACTTCTTTAAGTTTGCCATCAACATAAAGTCAAGGGCGAACGCAGGCAGCTCGATCATAGAAAGCAGTTCCTCAGCCAACGGGATGTCTGATCATGGAACTTGCAACCAAGTGAGATGGTGAGGGCCTACGGAATTTACATGCGTAAAATAAAACCTACTCAAGTAGCTTTTGACAAAGACAGACCTTTGCAGCATGGCTGTTCACAGCCACCTTTGTCAAACACTCTGTCATACTCAGTCTTTCCGTATTGACTCACAGTGAACAGATGCGCTTCCTTATTATCAATGTTGTGCTGTGAAGCGATCACATTCTAGACGTTTGCAGCTTTATTTTGAGAACGAATAGGCGAAACCATTGTTCATAAACAGAGCTATCAAGGGCTCTTCCTCTAACTCTTTAAATACATGTATACACAAAAAACCAGGGGAACAGAGTTGATTGGGGAAACCTTACTGAGACGAGAGACCCTGCACGCAGCGCGACAGGCAGTTGCATTAGGCGTTCTGTTTGGTCACGCGTTAGCCACTGGGGTTGCCAACTCCGACGCTGAGCTTTGTCCACCTACAGCTAGTCAGCGAAGGATGTGGCGCCCATCGGCCTCAAGCTCTCGCCAGGCTGGTACTAAGTCGGACACGGCTGAAACAACCGATTGACAGGGGGCGTTAGAGCAACCGAAGGCGTCATGGACGATCGTTGATACAGACTGACCGCGATTTCCCAGAGGCAGTCATTGTCCTCGAAAACAGTTATTGTCTGAAATACGCCCTCAAATTGAATTTATGTACTTTGTGACTCCCAGACCCGGATTGGATTTGCTTTCACCTCCGACTACCATCGTCTTCCCACGCGCCTGGGCTGATTATAATTAGATCTGAAGATGCTGCGACATTTAGTGTAATGGTTTCTCCTTTAACGTCTGCTGTTAAGTATTTTTCGTGTCTATTTCTTGGCACCTGGGACTAATGATGAGCTATTTCGCGGCATCATTTTCTCGGGCTCCATTGCTTAGCACGGTGGTGCGTCACTTTGTGACGGACAAGGGAGCATTTTTGGCACTGTCACGTGCGATATGGACAATCTGATACATAATGCTGTTTGCCACAATGTCAGCACGCTAACCTTATTTACCACGAAAACTTTTGCTCGTTTTCCCGTCATACACATGCGTCGGTTGGCCAACTGCATCACCTGCGAGCTGTGTATGATTCTGGCGCATCCATCTGCTAGTTCAACCTAACCTAAGGTCCAAAAATTGTCCTGGAACTTTTCTTCTCTGATAGATTAAAACGATCTACCCCTTCTCGGAGTTTTAATTATTTTACTTATACGTTTTGGAGCCGGCTAATTGGAAGCCGTCACTGTAAATGGCTGTGACGATGAATGATGCGGCTGGTTTCGTCCACAAGCAAGCGGTTACTCGCGATTATATTGCACAACCAAGAATAAGTAATAAAAATTTCAACAAAACCCATTGTTTTAGGCTATAGAACCGTGTCAGGTGTCAACGGACCTCTAGTTATATTAGATAACGTGAAGTTCCCAAAATATGAAGAGATCGTGAAGCTTACTTTAGCTGACGGTAGCGTGAGAAGTGGACAAGTTCTTGAAGTCAGCGGAAAAAAGGCAGTTGTCCAAGTTTTTGAAGGGACTAGTGGAATCGACGCAAAGCATACAACCTGCGAATTTACGGGCGACATTCTACGCACTGCCGTGTCTGAAGACATGCTTGGCAGAGTGTTCAACGGTTCCGGAAAGCCAAAAGACGGTGGTCCTGCTATTCTTGCTGAAGATTATTTGGACATTCATGGCCAGCCCATCAACCCTTACTGTCGAATTTATCCCAAAGAAATGATACAAACTGGCATATCAAGTATTGACGTCATGAATTCCATCGCCAGAGGACAAAAGATCCCAATTTTCTCAGCGTCGGGTCTCCCACACAACGAAATTGCGGCCCAGATCTGTCGCCAGGCCGGCCTCGTACATGGGTCTGGCAGCGATACTAAAGAGGACGAACGGGATAATTTCGCCATCGTGTTTGCCGCAATGGGTGTCAACATGGAAACCGCCCGTTTCTTCATGCAGGATTTCAAAGAACATGGCTCGATGGAGAATGTGTGTTTATTCCTAAATCTTGCAAACGACCCAACCATAGAACGCATCATCACTCCCCGCATCGCACTTACTACGGCGGAGTATCTTGCCTACCAATGCGAGAAACATGTCTTGGTTATTTTAACTGACATGAGTTCGTACGCTGAAGCTCTGCGGGAGGTAAGTCACTTCCGATAATTATTTTGGGTTTTCCTCCACACTTAGAGTCGGATGTTTTTCAGATTCTATCCTTTCCATAGGTTTCAGCCGCTAGAGAAGAAGTTCCTGGCCGTCGGGGTTTTCCCGGTTACATGTACACTGATCTGGCAACGATATACGAACGAGCTGGTCGTGTCGAGGGCAGAGGCGGTTCGATCACTCAAATTCCGATCCTCACAATGCCGAATGACGATATTACCCATCCTATTCCGGATTTAACAGGCTATATCACTGAGGGACAGATTTACGTCGATCGTCAACTTCACAACCGTCAGGTTTGTGTTCTCGTTTTGATTAGTACAGTAAATATACGCCTGATTCTGCTTGCCCTTGATTAGTCTTATTTTTTTTTACAGATTTACCCTCCGATAAACGTTCTACCTTCACTGTCTCGGTTAATGAAATCAGCCATTGGTGAGGATATGACGCGAGAAGACCACGCCGATGTCTCAAACCAGCTGGTAATAACAGTTTGATGTCGATTAACTAAGATTTTATTTCGCCTTCCTAGTTTCGTTCAAGAGCTCAGTTCCTCTATACCCGCATTCATGTCGTTTCCCACCAGCTCACAGGCTGTAATGAGATCATATTGTTTCACCTCTGCTATGATTTTTTGAAGCGGCAAGTGTAAGACATCCTGCAGGATTTGCACCCGTATCCAGTAGGAGCCTACATCATCTGCGCCCGACTAACGATATAAAGCCCACTTAGTTCTTAGAACTGAAACCGTATAACGACGCATCATCACTGCGAATAATCAGAATGTATGTTGCGAAATACCTTCACCATACGCCCAACGCGGATATTGGTTTGGATCTCAGGTACATGTTTCGCGGATTTTCTGCTGCTTCATGGTGCACTCACAAAGGGTTCAACTTCGCCGTGTTTCCCATATAGTTTCTGGCGTAAACCGATTTCCCGTGAGACTTATAGTTCTGTCAAAAATTGACTGTTGAGCCAGAAGTCTCCAATACGGTAAGCTGCAGCTTGGCCCCGAATTTGACACAAACGCCAGCGTTTCATTCTTTCGGCGGCTGGAAATCCGCGTAGTGTTAGTGGAAATAGCTCTGCCATACTCTCAATACGTGTCCTAACTACAAGAAATTGCTGGTGATGCCCCGAGGTACCCACTAATAAGCCATATCTCCCGCAGCCATATAATGCAACGGCAGGCAGGCGAAACATGTGCATGGGTTTTTAACCAACCATTTTGCTCTAACATAAAGGCCGCGGCGTACAGACGACCCTTACCTCTGACGAATCGTGTCCGGGAGCCTAATTGGATCTTGGGCTCTGGATTTTTAACACATGACGCTCTTTTTTCCTCTACAGTATGCGTGCTATGCAATCGGAAAGGACGTCCAAAGCATGAAGGCAGTGGTTGGCGAGGAGGCTCTTAGCCCCGAGGATCTTCTTTATCTCGAATTCTTAACAAAATTCGAAAAGAATTTCATTGCCCAAGGTATCTGTCAGTTTTTTTTCTCGCGTCCCTTTGTACACTTGCTATTTGAACCCACCAAACCCTGCTTAGCCTTATCCTTCAGCATTGCCCCATTCTACGCTGCTCTCACATGCCAGACATTTTAAGCCCGTACCTGGCACCCCTAGCCACCAAAATGGGTGGCTTTGTTGTCTAAGGCATGAAAAGAGACCAAACATGTTTCACATCAGAGATCGCGCCGAAATTCTTGTACAACCACTGTTATTTATCACGCCTTTACTGAGTTAGACCTACTACCGTTACTGGGACACATAGAAGAAGGAAAGCGAGAGCTTATTTGTCCCTGCATGACCTTCGCCATATTAAGTCTGGCGTACCTTGACCTTTGTTGGTGCCTTATCAAAGCCTCAGCTCGGGAGGTTACACACTGACAGGTTGCCTCGGTCTCCGAGGACTACATTTAAGTGGCTCGTTCTGCATAACTTTGATGTCTCTTACTTAGGTAATATCTACGTGAGGAAAGTCTGGCTGGTGAGGAAAGTCTATTTTGACTTTCCTCACGTACATATTACTAGCATGACAGATGTAGATGAGGTCAGCCGCCGCGCCCGTTCTCGTCTTCAGTCGTCCTAACCTTGTCTTGCTATTAGGGGGAAGTGCGAAATCGACGTTTCACAAGCTTCCCTGACTGTGACCCGATTCACATCCAAGGCACCACTGCTCTGTGCCTCAGGGTATTGGTCCTTTTCGCCTTCGCTGTACCATCAATATTAGGTCTTAAATCACCTTCGGCCGCGCCTGTTACTTGCTTTCAAAAAGGGTTTTATGCTGAGTTTGATCAGCTTTATCACTAACACGACTTAAATGCCGTCACCATAACGTCTGAGAAATTGACGGAAGTCCCCAAAATGCCTCCAGATTAGGAAACACCCCTCGCTTGGAGCCACAATACAGATAAATACTAAGTCAGCCTTCAGGTGATTCCATACAGCATGTTATGGTTATTTTCCATGGAGATTCTCCCTACCACTTCCGACAATTTCCCCCAGAAGGACTTTAGAAATAGAAGTTTAAAATTTATTGAAAACCCAAAAAATCATGGCTCAGCAACTAAAGTATTCGCGAAAACGCAGGCAGGCCCAATTCCCGAGGTAACTGTCACAGCATGGTTGCAAATTCTCACTAGGCAGCACTCGAGTCCTACGACATCTGTTGGTCATGTGTTCTGATTCATCCCGGACTCTGTAACAAATTATCTTAGACAGTCGGGGTAGCGGTCACGTTATTGCAACTACTCGAGTCGGGGTAAAAAGGTAACAGACGCACGAAGTTATGGATGCATGCCTTCAAGGAGAGGTCGCATTGTCGGATATTTGGGAATCTGGGCAGCCCATGCTGCAATGGGAGGTGGGCGTTTGGGACAGAGCGTTCAACCTAACGCCATGAAACGTGTACGGCTTCATGTTTTTTCGCAAGTCACGTGTGCTTAATAAAACATGGAGTGGATTTATTTTTAGCGTATCCCTTACATGTAGTCACAACATGTCAAATTTCACTGCCCACATGCGTTTATGTGATTCGTAATCCCGATTAGAAGGAGATTAGTCTCTTTAATAAAGTTGAGGCAACCTACAGTCATTTTCATCTTCTATGCCACCACGGCGACAGTGTCAGGAATCGGTTTGTCTGGCCGTCGTGCGGTCGTACAGCATGTGCGCCGGACAGTAGGCCGAAGGATACTTAGCTGTCCTCGTTGTTTTCTTCGACTTTGCCGAATAATGACATAAACTGGCAACCCAGGGCCCTATCATTTACGGGTGCATCCCTTCTGTTCCATATATTTATGACAGCCTAAGTGTCGTAGGCTGTTGAAGCATATGCGAAATGATCTTAACGCTGTAGTTCAAGACTAAATTTAGTAAACCCCCAACACGAGGTGTTTCATTGTGTTGTGTCAACATAAATTGTGAGACATCCTTAAACAACAAAACTATGTGCAACTCAGCAAGAAAGTCTTACGTAAAGTAGGCGAATTTGATTATAATTACGATTTGGTACATTCTACCTCTACGTGCCTCTTCGTTATTGAACAATGAATTTCGTTAGGTGTCTAATTCTTCTTGATATAACCCTGTACTTCCCAATTCTTTCCAATGCTCGTATGAGCTCCATCATCATTAGTTGAAAAGCCGGAACTTACGACTTACAGAACCTGCTGGATATTTAGAAAATGAGTACCTTGTCACTCTTCTTTCCGAAAAAAATCTCGCATTCGAAATAATTCATTTGTTGCTTTAGCTGCGCCGGTGCAGTTTTCCTTGACACAACCCCCTTCTCTGCCCACCTGTGTCACCTGTCGTTAAATATTCTTGATAGTCGACTTCCTGTTTCCATATCCCGCTTTATTCCGGGTAATTTATATTCTGGTCGCCGGCGTCTTGGTCATTTATGTTAATGCGAAACCCCTCAGGATCGATCCGCTTTAACATATGAGCTGTTCGCACGAACGAGCGGATTTCTTAAACGTTGCTACCGTGCCTAGTTAGGTTTCCCTGTTCATATTTTGACCTTGAAAGTAATCTCGTTCTTGAGGTCTGGTTGGGCATGCGCTACCAATTTCATGAGTTGTTGGAGTGAAGTTGCCATAAAGACAACCTGAAAAATTCCCGATCCCTAACCTCCTCCACCGTCCTTCACTAGGCCCCTACGAGAATCGCAGTGTCTTTGATTCACTCGACATTGGCTGGGAGCTGCTGCGAATCTTCCCCAAGGAGGTGCTTAAACGCATCCCATCGCGTATTCTCGATATTTACTATCCCCGGCGCATGGAGACGGCCGCTACTGCACGCTAGGTCCTATCTTTCTTCCATCTTCCCAACCCCTTATGCGGGTTTCTCTTCTCGCATAGGTTTTCTCATTGTGATTCCACGCAGCCGGCTAACCTGTTCTTCGGACTGCTTTAGCTGGGGGGTAGTTTTGCCTCTTGATGTTGTGCCTCACCCTCTCTCTCTCGACCTCCAGTTTGTCTTATTTTGATGATTCCCTCGGCTTTTTTGATAATCCTCTCCAAAAGCATAATAAATCCTACTTGTTGTGTTTGGCTCTTACGACTGTCATTAAATTTGTTTACCAATCTTTTCGTTTTGCTCACCCGATCCTCGAGTATAGGGTATTTCCGCCTTCATTAACTCCCGCACATGTAACTAAATTGTCCGCCGTTGCCATTCAAGTCTAAAAATCTGTCCCACAAGGCTATGCATAGCGTGATAGCTCCGTTTTGCTCCTCTGTTATTAAGTGTTCTGGCCATTTTGCAAAACTGGATCTTGGACGTGGAACGCCTGTTAAGCATACTGTCTTAAAAAGCGCAGCGATTAATTGCAGAGGACCTGGGCAGCTCGATCTAAACTTCTCCAACAGCAGACGATGGAACCATCAAGCTCCTCTCCAGCCAAGGACCCTACACAGGTGGCCGCCTAGTTAGAAAGAATCGGAGATCGGTGGGGTGTGTCGGATGCGAGAGGTCTGACTTATAGAATGCCTCAGTTCTGACCAATCTTTGCTAATTGCGAAGTTGCACTGCTCCGAGGCAGGTCACCCGGCTCAGATTCAGGGGCTCGGCAGTCCTGCTTCACCTTGTGACGAAGGGCCTTCCGCCTGTTTGATTTCTCGGGTCAACCTTCGTAAGAAGTTTCTGTCATTAGGTTACGTTTGCTTCCTGGGCAACCCTAAAGTGAAGCCGGTGGTTCTACCGTTGCAAGCGACAAGGATCTCTACTGCCTCACAGATCTGTGCAGTCGTGACCTGCGCGTGAATTTGTTTATAATGGGACAGACCTGCGCTGATCTACCTCAATTTGTCTTCCCGCACTCACTGCTTTGCGGTGGCAAGACATTCAGAACGACCGAAGACGGATGTGGACGCGGTGACCGACAAGGTGGGACAGCCCAACTGTGTTTACCGGGCGTGATCTGGTCCCGAACCGACACCTAGTAGATTTCCTTTGGGGAATGTCACGGATCTCATGCAAGTGGGTGATAATGACGTCACATTGAGAAGGGGCCATTGCAGCCTGGCCTTTACATTAGTTGGTAACCTTGATGCGTTGTGGTAGCTCAAAACTACTTTGGTGTCTACAACGAAGAACTAGGTCCTGCTTTGACCTCATTCCTTTCATCCATACACCAGTGACCTCTTAGGTCCAAACCGGTTGCGTAAAGGTTGGTCGCATTGACTGGGGTGACGCGTATCGCACAGGTCTTGATCTCATACGTGAAAGGCCCTCGGTTCTGAGAAGGACCGCATTGCCCTGTCATCTGACTATCGTCTGACTCAGCATTTTTGGCGCATCGTGATGGTTTCAAGCACGTCCTATTTACTATAACGAGGGCTGCGCTGACTGGCCGCGAGGAAATGCATCGCAGTGTTGGCCTCACTCCGGCTTCCATTCACGTTCTGATGGCCAATCAGAGCCATTCAACTGACTAGTTATGAAATTGGGCAAACAGTTGGCATGACGTATGGCCCACACACACCGCGGCCCGTGTGCTCTCGTGCAAGCACATGGTGAATCAACTGCCATCGCTGGTCTTTGGGAAGTTTCAGTATAGGGCTGATGCGTGAATGACGAGTGGTCACCGTGTGTGGACGTTCGATCCGGAGGACCCATGTGATAATTGAACGGCGTAATCCTGTATCGTCAGTGATAATGAGCTTTTTTGTGTCTGGGTGGCTGAATATACAGACACAGTGTGGACAGAGAAGACGTACGTTGACGTGGACCCCTGGCACTGGTTCAGCAGTCGCACAGCACTGGATGTACAGATGACCGATCGGAGGTTAACCAATAGGAAGACGCCGTGGCCTTTAACTACGGCACTTTGGACTGAAGGGTTAATAAAATGGTTTACGTACAGTGATTGTCACGGCAAAGCCGTTTCCCTTGCCAGCCCCGTCTTTCTTCTGTCCCACATAACAGCCGACGACATTACTGACCAATATAAAAAGTTGTTTGAGCTCGTCAGCCATCATTGCGGTGTAACCTCACAATCGCGATTTGAGCTGCCTTAGCGTATAGAACTCGTTCATTTTCCTCGCCTGGCTTTGTACGCTGTCCACGAGTTGGCCCAGCAGAGGAGTGTTGTCAGGTCGAAAGTGCTGTACATATTCGGCCTCGCGTTGAACATTGCAATTTGTTAAAAGCAGGCTGGCTTTGTGAGTGACTTGCAGTTTTGTCGTCGATCTTAATGGCCCGCAGGTCTTTTATCCAGGCAAGATAATGGGTCTACCACTGGAAGGTGATTATTAGCGGCAATTACAGTAGGTCTCGTGAATTTAACAATTAGCGTCCATTGGTGCGCGACAACCGTCTTCTGTATCTCGATGGTTAGGTCAAAAGACGCAAGAGGGAATGGAATAAGTCCGCACCTCCTCGGATTTCCATTTTGGTCGTCCATTTTGTCGCCCAGTTAGCGGTCGTTGGCGAAGAGGAAATAACATATCCTGACTTCTGAGGTCTTTATGACTGAGCGTATACGACGGGTGTCGAACAATCGCCCGTCTATTTGTTACGTTTATGTCGATTCCTGTTTCATTCTCGGCGTAGACCTCCATTGGTATTCCGGAAAACATGGGCGGAGAGAGGTCGGAGCGGGAATGCGGCTCTGCTTCATCCCTTTTATCATCGCAAAACCCTTCGAAATTGATCCAGGACTATCAGTGTAAACCTCCGGACATTCGAGTTTCCTCATTGCTTCCCAGATACCCTCTTTGTTCACGATGGTGAGGTCGTTATGTGATTCACGAAGATGATCCTCGTTTTCTGGCGCTGCCATTACCGGACTGCGAGGATGACATCCATGACTCCACTGCTTTCCCGGAATTCGCTTTGGTCCTCTCGACGATCGGGTAGTAGTCGGATGAGACTTTCGTCGGCACTACTAGGGAGCCATACCCCAGTGACCCTGGCAGACTTGCCGGTACCCCTTGTGTTTGTATATACAAACATAAGTGGGTAGATGTTGCACCCATGAAGTCTTTCAGGACTTGCCCTTTTTGCTGCGTCTCCTAAAACAGTGACGTAGACTTGTTCAGGAGTTGAGACGACCATGCCTGTCGATTTTGACCGGAATTGAGTCGGTGCTCGGAGATGTTCCACTGAAAATTTGTCTCACTGCTATAATTTCTTCCTGCGGGAGAGAGTGCGGTCGTGGTCAGCATTAATTTCCTCTTGAGGAGTCGATTTATAGGTTTCCCGCAGATTATGAATCAGCGGTTGTGGAAACAGTGTCCGACCCTGCGCTTCTGGCTCTCCGATCGATCCATTAGTAGACATTTACATCTTAACTGGGCGATGACTAAATTCGTTTCATATTGATCTGCATGTCGGTGGACTTCATACTAATCACGGCAATCAGCCAGCTAGTTTACATCTTTCTCAGCCTCTGTTGAATTTGACGACGACATTTGAAGTATGCAGCTTCCTTTTAGGCTATATTGTTCGTCAGACAGTTTATGTGGTAGTGTTTGTTCTACGGATATCAGTTGTCGTTGCCGTCATAAAAAGCAGTCCAACTGCATCCAGTGTGCGGATCCGACTTCAGTGGCGCTGGTAGTCCACAGTCTGTCAGTTGTACTCATCGTCTTCATCCTCCAGGTTTTGGTGGTGATCCATGCTGGTTTTCGGTTCGTTGGGTAGTTCCGATCCGCATTCACTCAGAAGTAATACATTTACTTGGACAAATGATTTAAACAAAGCTGGTGGGGTTTCGATTCCGTGTTGCGCATTATGTTAAGCCAAGTTCTATGGCGTTAAGATCTGCTCACGCGCCCGAACTTCCGACATCAGTCACAAAGCTTCCACCGCCGGAAACCTCGTCAGTCATGTTGTACCGATTTTGGTCGAATGTCGGATCTGCGCTCCTCGTCTTCGTTATTTTTGGACTTTTTTCATTGTTTTCGGACCGCAGAGCGTCTTGGTTAGACGCACCATAAGGTCAGTGACAGAAACTTTCATCATTATTGACTGCCGCAGGACCTCCCCCCCCCCCCAATTTACTATTAAAATTGTCTGTAGTCGATTTCGCTTTTCACGGAATATAAAGAGAACGATTTCGTCAGCCCGATATCTTCTTTCCCGGCGAGTTTTGGTTCTGCAGCCCCACTTGACTGATGCCATATGGTTAGCTTCCTAAAACAATTTAAGTAGATGCCAGCACGCCGACGCTACAAATATCGCGTGTTTACCATCCATACCATTTTAATCCAGTGAGTAACTGTTCCACGGAGGGGATGAGTGCTTATATTCCAGTCATCAGTTCACACGCGCTTCACTGTGCGTGCTTCGGGCCCTGCTTGCGCCCTCCTTATTATCCTAATCCAGCGAGTGGGCGGGTAGACTTGTTAATGGAATGGTTCGGACGGTGTGGAACTCCATCGCTTCTACTATGGTGACCATGCACTCCAAATTACCACGCGGTTCCCTCTGTGGCCTTCCAGTTGTGATTGCATCCTCCTTACCGCACTAATCCAGCGAGTGGCTGAGTCGCGTCTGTTTGGTTAAGTATGTTGGCTAATACTGTTTTAGTAAGCCAACCATATGGTATAAATCAAGTGAGACTACAGAACCAAACCTCGCTCTAATTCATGTCTCTGCCTCTGTCTGTGCCTTTCACCACACCCGATGGACTTTTACTCCTTGATAAAAGTACTGTTCTTTGGTTGATCTTGCAGCCACTATGTTGTATTTATTCAGAGTTTGCGTGCTACTATCCGACAGGGGTAAGCGGGCTGTTCACACGCCATCTTTGTTAATTTGTTCCCTTTCGAGCTGTCAGCGACAACACTACCCTCGCGCGTCTTTGGCGTTTCTTTGCGTATTGCAGAAAATCGGCCTTGGATCCATTCCGTAAATACAGTAGGAGACATATGCGCCTCATGATACGTTGACCAAAATTCTGAACTGTGAGTTCAGTTAAGAAAGACTACCTAGGTGGGATTGCAGTACAAATTCCAAGACATTTTCGTCACGCCAGGATGCCGTCTTTTGAATGCACGTCTTTCTGTCCGCATCCATGATCCATACTCAGCATAAAATGGCTACTTAAGTAACATGTATTTTTAATTGATTTCCGACGCCATCACAAATGTAAGTATATTTCGTAGAGAATTTGCACAAAAATGCCCTTTCTTGTTTTTATTTTGTAGAAAATTAGGTCTTCTTCAAATTTTTAACTCGGAATTGGCCCGGGGGTTTTGTGAAGAGCACTGACCTTGCTGCAGACGTCTACTGTGGTGTTGTGCCCGCCGATCTGACTGGCGCGTAAAGTCCTGTAGGTGCAGGGTCGGTGAGTGGTTTTTGCGTGCTCACCTCTGCAGCGTATGCTGCCCGGGCTGTCAGGATATCATGACAAAAACGCGTGACTAGCGAACGACCAAGGTCATGTACCCCTGTTCACACCTTCTTTGTGCTAATTGGCCACCCATCAGTCTATGACATCCCACCCCTGCCATATACCCAGCCGTTTCCACAAGTCTCCTCACTATTGTTATTTGGCGTACTCAGTGCACGTCCTATTTCCAGCTAACCTTCTGTTTTGCATACATAACATTGACGACGCAGCCTAAAGAACATGTCTTCATTGCTGCCTACACCGTTACCTTTCTGGCCAAAGAACACCCAGAAACCCTCAAATGACTCGTGGTTGCAATGGAGGAAGACATTTGAGGATTATATTGAACTACTCCCGATTTTGTCACCCACGATTGTACTAGACGTCCCATCTAAGTTGAAACTCCTCCGGACGAATCTCGGAGAGTTGGAACAAAGATATTTCGATGCTCTCAATTTAAAAGAGGCTACAGGTCTCCAAACAACCTTCACAAAACTCGAGTCAGTGTGGAGAGAAAAAGGCAGTGTCTTTCTCAGCCGCTATCGGCTTTATCGAATGCGTCAAGAATCCAACCAATGTATCAGTAATTTTACTACGAATCTGACTCTGGCCACCCAGGATTGTAAGTATCAAGAGATCAAGGCAGACAACTTCCGGCACGCAATACTCGTTCAGCAGTTGATTGTTGGTCTGCGTGATGAAAATGCGTGGGAAAATCTCTGGCTAGACCGCAGTTGGTAGCCAGGACCCGTATTAAAGGTGGCGGGGGGGCGTTGTTTACTAGGGCTATTTTGTGGGGCTCCATAATCACATCTGACCCATTTGACTTCCGTTTTAGGTTTGAGGTTAGGATTAGGGTACCGGTTAGTGGTTTCCGATTTTTGGATTAGGGTTATGCCTTTAGGCTTCGGCTTTCGGGTTACGGTTAGGTTTTGAGCGTACGATTAGGTTTCAGCAATACGGCTATGTCTAAGGGCTACGGTTATGTTTACGATTTCGGTTAGGGTTAGGTCTAGGGTTGCCGTTAGGGTTAAAGGTTAACGTTTAAGGTTGAGGTTAGGGTTAGGATTGGGATTAAGGTCGCCGTCCGCTTCCCCATTCCTGGCTACCAACTGCGAGCTAGCCAAATCTCTTATCAGAGAAGAGGGATTTGTCGTGGGAGAAAGCCCGTGACATCGTCAGTCATCAGGAGCGCGTGCGGCAAAGCCTTCAGCAGCTGAATCAGTCAACCGATGGAGTGATATCCTTTGAATCTGAAGTGGCTGTCTCCCAGGTCAACACTGCTCTGTCTTCACCTAAGCAGCGACTGTTAGCTCCCTCAAAACAAGTATCATCCTGCTACCGCTGTTTCAGCATCATATCCGGTGGTCAGACTGCAGACACCAGAAGACGGTATGCCAGTTTTGCAAGAAAACTGGCCACATCGAACGGGTGTGTTTCTCCAAAAGACAAGCGAAAAGTAACACGCATGCGACCTGCTCTAATCCAGCTGGGGATGGCGAGGCGATACTCCAAATGTTTTCGGCCAACGCGCCACTCTAATCGCCCTAGACCATCACGCTTCCGGTTGATCGCCATCCCGCAAAGTTTGAAATCGACACTGGCTCAGCTGTTATTCTCATCAATTAGGCCTCTCTTCAGAAATTACCCTCCCTGCTTCCGGCTAGCTCAACATTCCGTAGTTACACTGGACAGGACGTAGAGGTTCGAGGGGTCTTTACGGCCGAAGTCAAGCATGAGGGGGAACTTCATTACTTGTCGGTTCCTGTGGGGAGAGGAATCCAGCAACCAAATCTCCTCGGACGTTACTGGATTAAATGTGTGCCTTCTGTGCTATCCTATGCACATCAGCTTAGGGGAAATGCGGCTTTAGATTTCATTTAGGTACATCACGAGGACTTTTTTGTGACAATTTTGCTACGCACTACCGCGGTCCGCCTGTTAAGTTCCAGTTTCAGTCAGATTTTCGGCCCCGGTTCTTCACAGCTCGTCCGGTTCCCTATGTAGTCGCACCGAAGGTCGAAGAAGAGCTGGATCATCTACAGAAAACCGGCATTATCGAGCCCGTGCAATATTCAGGATGGGCAGCCCCAATAGTTCCTGTTCTTAAATCTGATGGTTCTGTGCATATCTTTGGCGACTACATGCTGACAATCAACTCAGCAACAAAACTAAACCCTTATCCTCTCCCGCGCATCGAAGATCTGTACGCATCTTTCTCAGGTGGTCATCAATTTAAAACTTGGGACCTGAAGCATGCTTACAACCAAATCGTCCTAGATACTGAATCCCGAGACGCCACCACCATCAATACTCATCGGGGTTTATTGCGATATAAAAGACTACCATTTGGAGTAAGTTCGGCCCCCGGTTTATTTCAATGCTTGATTGATAACCTCGTGAAGGGTACACCCCACGTTTGCGCATACCTTGAAGATATATTAGTTACCGGCCCATCTGAACACAGTCATCTAGACTCTAAATATCGTGTTAGGACGTTTAGAAGACGCAGGTTTTAAACTCAGGAAAGAGAAGTGTGCTTTCCTTGTCGACTCGGTAGAATACCTGGGCTTCAGGGTGGATAACTGGTCTCCATCCACTCGAACATAAACTCAAAGCCTTGAAGACCGCGCCGCGCCCCAACAATACTAGTCAATCGCATTAATTCCTGGGGTAGGTCACTCAATTTAGTCACTTTATGAATCAATCGGCTACAATTCTAAAGCCTCTTTATCGACTACTTGAAAAAAAATCGTTGCTGGAACCGGTCGGAGGCCGAACAAAGTGCTTTTGAATAGGCAAAGGCGGCTCTTACCTCCTCATCTGTCCTGTTTCATTATGACCCCGAAAAGTCTATCGTACTGAAATGTGATGCGTCTCCGTACGGCGTAGGGGCGGTTCTCATGCGCAGAATGCTTTCTGCTGCGGAGATGCCGATTGCCGTCGCATCAAGAACCCTGTCCCAGCCGGAAACTAACTATTCGCAACTAGATAAAGAGGCCTTAGCAATAATGTTTGGCCTACATTGCTTCCACCTGTTTCCTTTTGGCCGACCCTTTGAGATTCACACTGATCACAAACCCCACTTAGGTTTGCTGGGAGAAAAACGAGGGATACAACAGATGTCCTCGCCGAGAATGCAATGATGGACACTCACTTTGTCTGCTTACAGGTATGCAATGAAATACGTTACAGGTGGTGCAAACGTAGTGGCTGACGCCTTGAGCAGGCTTCCTATTGTGGACGATGGCATTAACAGGGCACCTGTTTTTTGAGACCGTGAATCTTTTGCAGAACCTAGTCAACGCACCTGTAACCTGTCAACGAATTCGACAGTGGACATCGACAGACCTTCTCCTAAGTCGGGTTAAAAGAGCCTTGCAATCTGGCTGGCCGTCCTTTATCTCCCCTGATTTTCAAACATTCTTCAGCCGTTAGAACAAGTCGAGTCTACAAGACGGATGCGTGCTATGGGGTAATCGTGTAGTTGTGCCACCACAAGGCCGACGGGCCATCCTCAGATACCTGCATAATGCTCATCCTGGTACAGTTAGAATGAAAGCCCTCGCCCGCATCTATGTTTGTTGGCTCAAAATTGACGCAGATATCGAAAATGTGGTGAAAGCATGTCACATTTACTAAATAACACAGAAGACCTTACCGAAGTTGCCTCTGAGGCCTTGGGCCTGGCCCGACACGCCGTGGAAGAGGGTACACGTCGATTTTTTTGGGCCATTCCAAGGCCATATGGTTTTGGTACTGGTTGACGCCAACATTAAATGGATTGATGCGATTCCGACAGGAAATTCTTGTTCTTCACTGACTACAATCAACAAGTTTCGAACCGTTTTGTCTACTTTTGGGATGCCTGAAATGGTCGTTTCGGACAATGGTCCGGCCTTTACTAGTGCCGAATTTAAGGAATTCATAGAGAAAAATGGAATTAGGCATTTGACTACTGCCCTGTACCACGCTGCTTCTAATGGCGTGGCAGAGCGTGCAGTCTAGACAATAAAGCACGAACTAGCCAAACAGACGGAAGCGGACTTGGCCACCAAGTTGTCACGCTTTTTGTTCAGCTATCGCATGACACCAAATGACTCAACCGGTGCTTCGCCTCCAGAACTGATGTTTAAGAGGCAGTTGCGCGCACGGCTCGACCTGCTTAATCCATCAACGCATGATTGAGTCATTAAAAAACAAACGAAGATGAAAGCACGATATGATGTGAACACCCGACCACGAGTCGTCGCGCCTAACGAAAGTGTCTACACGCTACTAGAACACGAAACGAACTGGTGTCAAGCGGTAGTTCGAATAAGCGAGGGGCAAATAGTAGAACTAGAGTTAGAAGATGGGAGAATTGTGCGTCGACATCTGGACCAAGTTCGCAGACGAACGGACACAGCAAGTGGAGAATTCGGAAAGCTCGAACTGCCGGCAACCCTTGATAGGGATCCTTGCATCCAGAGGACTGAACACCTACTGCCTGCGCAGAGCACTACGCCACCGACCGAGACGTACGTTCCTCCTCCTCCTCCTCCTCCTCCCCTCATCCTCCTCCTCCCCTCCTCCTCCTCCTCCTCCTCCTCCTCCCCCTTTTCCTCCTACCCCGGCCAGCACTAAATTAGGCGCAGATGAACCAGGGACTCCACAAAGCCGCGCAGAGGTCGAAAATACCGCTCTGAGAAGATCGACCCGAATCCGCAAACCTGTCCAACTCTTTCAGGACGAATTCCACTAGAACATTGTGTAACTATCTACCATTACCGTTAACTTTTCCTCCCCATGCTTTCCACTTTAGGGTGGAGGGTTGCAGCGTATGGTGCCCGGGCTGTCAAGACATAATGCCACATGCGCGTGACTAGCGAACGACCAAGGTCATGTACCCCTGTTCACACCTTCTTTGTGCTAATTGGCCACCCATCAGTCTATGACATTCCTCCCTGCCATATACCCAACCGTTTCCACAAGTCTTCCACTATTGCTATCTGGCGTCCTATTTCCAACTAACCTTCTGTTTAACACACAACAACCTACATCCGAGTTCAGCCTATAAAGACGGTTGTTGCTGGCACTGCAAATGTCCTGTACCCATACAAGGCACTCATCGACCTCCAATATCGCAGACCAATACCTACGAGTGGGCACTAAACCGATGTGCATCACAATACACACGGCGCATTTGATCGATAGATGAGATCAACCGGAGGAGGTACCAGAACCCAAAACCGAGGTTTTGTAGTAGGGTTGTCTTCTCAACAATCAGTCTTTGTCAGGCGGTGCTGTGGTTCGAATCTTAGAGAAGAATACTTCCGTTCAGTGATGGTAGGACCTGAGAACATATGACTGTGACCAATAAGAGAATTTGGCGCCCAAAGCAGTGGATACTAATTCAGGAGCTGTTTCTGGCTCCTCTTAAGCGACAGAAAGGCGAAGGGGTCGCTGGAATGGTCAAAAACTACCAACAGTCCGCACTTACGTCTAGTCTTCGTCTCCTAACAGTTCGACCATCATCGCTGACTACGCCCACCGTGCGCTCCACAGCAAGGTGAGAGTAGGCAGGTGGACTTGTACGTGGACTAGTTTTTAGTGGTAGTAGGCTGGCATGACATTTACCGCACTCTCTCCTATTCCCCCACCTTGACCCGGTGTCAAGACATAGTCAAGAAGACCGGAGGCGGAGGAGAGCGCAGGTCGATGGCACGGTCGAGCTCGCACCTTGACGTTCCACTCCACACCCCCTGATCCACATAGCAAATGACCAGGTTTTTGACCAACAGGGAAAGGGTGGCTGGCATGGCCGAAGCCTCACTAGGCGTGCCGTTACACCTGGCCCGAATATCAGGAAGTGGGAGTGTCATAAAGGCCACATTAAGAAGGAGCCATTGCAGCCTGTCTCTTAGACCACCAGCCGGCCGCTCCAAACAAGCACGCACTGAGCCGACTGCGAGATCAAAATTATCCCGCCTGTTAACAACCTTCCAATCCACGGCTTTAGCGCACCGTGATAGCTTAAAGCGCGTCAAATTGTTTATAGTGAGGAAAATTCTCTGGCTGTCGAGCTCACTCTCCCCATTCCCAGGCCCCAGCCACTGTCCAACCCGGTAAGTAGACAAGTGTGGGGAATAGGCGCGATCGTTGATATACCTAGTGATCTTGTCTGCGCGCACCACATGCACGACCTGGTCCCCCAAACACAGGCACCAGGACTTCAAACAACGGAGGTTGAGTGGCATACATCTCACATGCATGAGAGTGCAGTAGGTCACGTTGAGAAGGAGCCGCTTCAGCCTGGCTCTCAGCCCACCAGTCCGCCACTCCACACGTACACAACTGGGCAGACTGAGTGGACTACTTTGGGGCGGCCGTCAGCAGTCTTCCAGACCACAGCGCTTCGCGCACCGTGACAGACTCAAGTTCGAATCATACATGCAGCAGAGGAGCCGCATGGAGACGGAGCCGAGACACACATTAGCTACTTGCTTTAGAGGTGGCAGTTGGGTGCGTGTGCTGGTGGGGGAGCCGGCGTTGTCTTCCACAGGTTCTCGTGAATATGCATGTGGCCTAGTAGACCCACGAGGTAGCTGAATATGCGACGACAGTGGGGGCAGTTGAGAAGAATACGTTTGGTGTATGTTGGTGCTCCTGGTACTGATACGCTGGTCTCTGTGCGCTGGACTCGCAAGTGACCGACCAGGCTGATGTGTGACGTGAATGTACAGGGACAGTGAGGGTAGGAGAAGTCGTTGTTGTCAGTGTCGTTTTCGGTGGTGGTGGTGGCATTGGTGGAGTTGCTGATGGCGAGTGTGCTGGGCGGCGGCGTGTGCGTTAAGCTAGGCATAGTGGATGTGCAGGAGGTGATAGGTGTGTCGAGACTTTAGCGGCGGTTAGGAGGAGGAGGAGGAGGAGGAGGAGGAGGAGGAGGAGGAGGAAGGGAAAAGTGTTGTTTATGTTTTTATTGCTTCGACCTCGACTTTTGCGTCTGTGGCCACAGTCAACCTGCAGAGGGCGTGGATTCCCAGCATTTGCTTAAGGTGCCTTTTCTAGCCCCTTCCGCCTCGTGGGAGTGAACAATGTTCTCCCTAAGTAGGCCAGCTCAATTGTCCCAGACGGCTGCCGGACTCCACTATGGGCCACGACTTTGTTTAATGGGAGAGCGACCCAAGTTAACCTGGGCCGCCTACGCGATCACCGTCGATCTCGCCGTAGGACTTTTTGGAGGTGGGGGGGGGATAGGGGCAGGGTAGGGGGACGGGAAGCAATGCTTTCCGTCCCTCTCTAAGATAACTGGTTGCTGAAATTAGACGGTGAGCGGACAGATTCATTAAAGCGGTATTCGTCAGTGCGGTATTTAGCTTACCTGTTGGGCACATCTTGTGGCCACCTATGGGATTGCAGATGGCGATGCGGTGATCCATAGGACTTTCGACCATGGGATAAGAGAGCAAGGCAGAGTAGAGAGAGAGTGAAGGGCGGTAAATAGGTGCGAAGAAGTATAAAGGTGCCGATCTTCCAGCCAATGGGTCAGCGGCTTGCTGAGTGCTGAACTGCGAGGGTGAGCAGGCAAAGACAACCAAGCGGTATTCAGCTTGCCCGGGGGTTCACCCACCTCATGGCCTCCTGTGGAATTACAGACGAAGCTTCATCTCGGAGATGCCGAGGCGGTGATCCATCTGGCCAGCGGTGGTGAACGCGGAACCCCGTTACTGTGTCTAGAGATGCACTCACAGGCACCCCCACCTGGATCAGCCCGTCGGTTAAGAGGGTTACCAGGGTGTGGCCGCTAGGCAGAGCCTAGCTTTGGGGAGCCACATGTGAGAGTTGGATGCCAGTCCGAAACACCAGTGCTACCTGCTCCAGTTTATGCTGAAATCCACAAGCCAACCTTATTGGTCGCCTGACAAGACGCGGTTTGGTAGCCCCAACCGATGGACACAATACTGGCCCCAAATTTTGGCGGGCTCTTCCGTACGTGAAGAACGCCTCGGAAGACGTCAGTCGTCTTCTCACTCCACTTGGAGTTGGGGTTGCACACAGGCCGGAAGCAACCATTAGGCGCCAAGTCATGGGGCCAAAAGACCCGCTGCCACGGCAGGAAACGTCTGAAGTCGTTTACCGGATCTGGTGTAGTTGCGGACAAAGCAATTGTGTCGGAGAAACTGGGAGATTACTCCGTACGCGAATTGCTGAGCACGAAGCAACAGTGAGGCGGAGAGACGCTAACTCTCAGGTGGCGGCACACTCGACGGGACCCATATTTTCAAATTTCAAGAGGCCGAAATCCTCGCCAGGGGTGACAACCGCGTGAGCCGCGAGCTGCTCCAGTCATGGTTCTCAAGCCCGCAATCCATCAACAAGCACAATGACCTCCCGGTACCCTATTCCGTGCTGCGATTTTCCCTGGGCAGGAGAATCAGTCACGTGGGGAGGGCGCGGGCAATCAATTATCACGGTGACAGTGAGCCAGTTTGCCGAGCAATCGTCACACCAACATCCAGCCCGGATGACGAAATCGCGGCAATTAACGACTCGGACTTGGACCGACAAGCCACCACCGCATCAATTACGACCCCAGCGGTGATTGCGAGAACTGTTAGTTGCAGTGTGCATACGGTCCCACGGCAGCCAGGTGCTATAAATACTGCGCTCCTGGTGCCACCATCACCCTCATCTGCGAAGGTCTCTGATTATGGACTCGAGTGAGAATCCGAAACGTCAGGCAAATAAATTTCTTGTTCCAGTGATCGCATCTTCATCTTCTGAACTGCTACTTGGAACTCGCCTGTTCGCTTCTATCAGGACACAATACTGTTGGGGTTGGGGTTAAGGGGTAGGGTTGGGGGTTAAGGTTAGTGGTTTGGCGTTGGGGTTTAGGATTATGGGTTACAGTAAGGGGCTAGGGTTAGGGGTTAACGCAACTATTTCTCAACCATTGAAAGTACAACCACGCACTCCCAATGGCTTTTATTTTGCATACAAGTACTTGACCTCGTCGTCTGTGCGTTCCCCGGCCCCACCTGTAAAAAGCCCCATTACAGCCGGTCCCGTATTAGAGGTGACTGAGGTTTGTTTACTTCAGGTGGGATTACCAAACCACATCCGACCGATCACCTCCGGAGAATGTAGAATGTTGCATCCAGTAGCGGTTTGATCTGGTACCCAAGTAGGATACATTGGAAGTTGTCGTTTCGCTTTGAACCGAGCATGCAAATACACCGATTCAATACGATTCGAATCACAGAATTTTCAGAGTTCTTGACTAAGGTGTATGTAGGCCAACCGGTGTAATTAGTTGGAATTTCAAATGATCCTAGCTTTCTAATTGCCTGTGATGTTCATAATAGTTTACTGCTGAAGATTGCTGTTATGACAGTTTCACTGCGAGTCAGCAATGCGCCACTGCAAGGATGAAATGACGTGAATGGTTAGTTTTGATTGGCTGGCTTAACACATCTCCTTTGCAGGCATAGAGTACTTCTAGTTGTACTGGACTCGGTCGCTTAGACGAGGGCTGGAGCCCCAAGTCAGTGTTATAAAATCCAGTTGTACTATTCATGAAGTTTGAATGACCTTCATGTTACCACTGATTTGGTCAGGAGATTCGGCTATGCTATGCACATTGTTGACAATTATGAATGCTTCTCCGCACACGTCAAATAGATTAAAAATTTTAAAGACCATCAAAACTATGCGTGAGCCCGCCGGGCAACAAGAATTTCCCTAATTTCCCATTACGGATTTTATCAGCGTGATAATATGAAATGGGACTGGTCAGATGGGATGAAGTTCGCGGATCTATCCTGACAGCCGAATTAAAATATGCGTTTCCGTTTTGCCTTAGAGCCGCCGTCTATGATCCACACAGGCGACCGAATGGCGACAGGCAGTTATTAGTCCAGGCGTTTTACCCACGGGGATAAGAGAGAGCGGGAGGAATGATCTTTTATGGCGACTTTGCCGTCCTCGGTCAGTCATTGTTCTTATCTTCTCACTCTGGAGTTCGGTATGTCTGTCTCACTCTCTCCCTCTGACGACGACAGATACATCATAGATGGCTGTGTAAAACGTCTTCTTAGCGTTTGGCTCCAAAGCAATCCGGCCAGTAAAACCGACTCCTTCATCTTGCAGTCTTTAAGATTGGACAGGACGTCTATTGTATCCTTGAAGCTCATTGGCTTATCATTCTCAGCTGAGTACGACCTTAGATCACAGTCATAAGGTTGTCTACATGCCTACTTACGGACCAAATTAAGAGAGGCCTCGATATTTTTTCAGAATATGCTCACATTTTTAAATCTTCCACCAAACGTTTTAAAGACTAGATTCACCACTAGTTTAATCCCCCTGTTGAAATAAAAGCACTATTGCAGAAGGAATACCAACAGAGAATAGGAAGACCGAATATTCACTTCCATTTTATTTGGTGTCATCAGTCCACAGTACTCCGACCCCGGCCTGAGTTCTCCTGATCGTCAGGCGCTTGAATCTCTTGACCTACTACTTAAATGGCGGGCTCTTGTCCTGTCGACGGCGACCGAAAATATTCAAATTCACATGGGACTGATGTGCCGCCCTGACTGCAGGATGTAGATGGGCATTTGTATTCTGTCTCGGTGCTTTGGGTCCAGAGCTCTCGCAGGCGGCAACATAACGAGGAAAAATTGGTGAAGAGGACGTGCGACTGGCAAACACAATGAAGACCGAAATGCCAACTCCTGTCTGGTGAACGATACTCATGCGAACAAGAACATTCCTTTTCACAACTGACAGGACTTTGACCCGTGTCTCAAGTGATAAATCTACAAGTACGCGATAACCACTTGACTGGGCTCCAGCTTTCAGGTGTCCTTCTGGGTTCGAGGCGCGTTTTACTGGTGACTCTAAATAAGTCAATAATGGCCTTTTCGGTCACCTTAGCCGTGCTGGTAGCACCTCTCGACTACTGATTGCTCGTTGTAACGCGGCCACCTACGAGGGCCCTGGATTCCAAGGCAAGACTGGAATGCTCGTTGTCGTTCTTCAAGTAGGATAGATCGGTTAATGTCACTGTCACGTGGCGTTAGCTAATCCCTTCCGCAGATGGAGGCAAGTAAAACGATTTTTCTAATCGAGGTTCGCTGCAACAATCTTCCGGGTAGGCTTTGGTGTCCAGTGCAAACTGTGTAATCCTACCAGGTCGGTGAGGCTATCAATGCGCCGACTATTCTAGTATCGCAAATTAACGGCGGCTAATTCGGGCAAGAAGTAAGACAAACTGGCGAATTTGCAGCGTGTCTAAGAACTATCTAGTGGAGAAACACTAAATGATCTAACTCCGAATACTGCTATTAAGTCGATTGCATAAGGAATCTAGGGATTTTCTCGACATATTACGTAATCCCGCAAATTTACAGATGACTCCTTGTACGTGCCAAGTTCGACAGAAGTTCCCCGTGGTCCCTTTTTAACTTCGTAGATGTAAATTTTGTTGGACGTTTGATCCTGGGCAAAACAGGCTGCCATCGTTGAACAAAAAAGTCTCCCCCACCCCCGTAAGCAAATTCTTGTTTGCATCAAAAAAAACGCGGCCACTTGTGAACATGGCTGCCGAAATAACGACAGCCGTCTATTAATGCACAGACGTCGTGTGACGGTGTCTAAATAGGAGCACTTAGGTTCTGGTGTACAAGTCGTGAAAATCGTTCTTCTTTAATTACTCTTAATTAATGACAAAGGTTCCACCCAGTGAGTCCCAAATAAGGCTGCAATTTTCTCGCTTTCCACACTAAGCCCTCCCATCTATGCCGGTTACTCTTCGAAAACAACACTTCCGAGTTAGTCTCAAGTGCATACTTAAAAAGAAGTACGTACGCACGTCCTCACAGGGGGGAAATAGTCGCTTCATCCCAGTCGCTGTGACCAGGCCTAGATTGTCGTTCATTCAGGACTGATCTGAGAGGACTAAGTAGTTGCTATATGCTCTTCCGCCATTCGACAGAATTTAGTAGCTGGCAAATTCACTTTCGTTAACATTCGGAAGCCAGCAGCGCAGAAGTGGTCGGTCAGTTGACTAGTGTGCTAAGTTTCCAGGTCATCTTCACGTCCGCTTGTTTAGTATGCACACAAACACACACACACACACACACATTCTTCTGAGGTTCATTTTGCCGGCTTGCTGTTTAGCATATACGAACACTTTAGAAGTCATGCCCCGAGATAATGTTTATGACTTGAAAATTAAACGACCGCCGCGAACTTGCATTCCTCAACGAACATCTATCAGAGACTCGAACTTGCTTTTTTTAATTTTTCGGTCACAGCTACTGTGTAAAAGTTGAGGCACGAGCCTTCGTTACCTTAGCAGCTACACGGACTTGAACAGCCGATGCAATCCTGACATCATGAATGGCGGCGTATGTTCGAATTTCAAGCGTATGTGTGGCAATGAAGAAGAAAAATAAATAAATGGTTCTAGTGTCCGATTTGCCTTTGCTCTTGACGCTGTTTTTAAGAGTTCGCACAACCTATGCAGCAGCAGCAGCAGCAGATATCACGTCTGAAATACGCTGTTTTCCACTTGACTGACTTGACCTGGTTAAAAGCGATTAGCGTAAGTCGCTGTACTCAAGAGTCCTCTATGCGTATGCAAGCGTTCGCCTCGTCTTTCGGGTCGGGTCCCGGTGGATGATTGACCTCTTCTCCGACTGCAGGGTCTGGAATCCGAGGTCAACGTCGAAGGGGTGAAACCTCAAGTTGAAGGATTGCATGGAGAGCGCTAGGGATCAAAGGAAGTTTGGAATCCTCCCTATATGTTTCCGTTATTTTGTGCGGCGATTTTTCGGTAGGACACGGGAAAAGGGATCCCTTCCCCCTGAAATATTTAGGCTAGAATGGGAGCTATGACGTCACACGGCGGCTTCAGACTTAGTAGATGCATGTTTACACAACCTGGACAGGATCCTTGAGAGCAAGAAAAAAGGGCGAGATAAGAGAATACGTCGCCCTGACGGTGGAAATTAAGCCAGCAATCGGCTTGGTCAGCAGGATCGTAGATACTTACTTCCGTCCAGAACATAAACGCAATTCGTCCAGGTCGTTTTTGTAGAACGTTGGCACATGAAAGATGTAAAAAATAGTAAATGTAGCTGTGGCTGGTTTATGAATCCAGAGCAAAAACAAAACTAGTTCTTCAGGACGTTTTTATTGACCCCCCCCCCAAACCGCGTATCTGTTCAACCCACCAGACTGTGGTAGTTATCATTCTGTGGAGTACAGTTCCCAAGCTCTACTTAGCGAGCATATGATAGTTCAACCGCTTTGCCCGATGATACCCACCGTGTGCTCTACAGCAAGATGAGGCAGGCATGGTGACTTTCTCGTGAATTAGTTTGCAGTGAGAGTACACTTGCGCAATGCCTACCGCATTCTCTCCCCCTCACCATCTGGGTCCGTTGTCGAGACATAGTTAAGAAGGTCGGAGGTGAGGGAGGGCATAGGTGGCTGGCGCGACCGGACCCGCTCCTAGGCGTATAACCACACCACTGGTCCACAACAAACACTTGACTAGGATTTTTACCGACATCGCCACAACGGATCAGAAGGACGACAAGGATGACTGGCAGCTATTTTCACGACCTGTATATCCAGCAGAAGCGCAGGCGCATCTACCGGCAGGGGACCAAGTGCCACAAAACTGCCAGCACACAGCAGGCTGTGAGGGCCACGGTTTGCTGAACCATGGCATAGCAGACGCTTAAAATCCTCGAGGCCCAGAGGGGTCCGCGCAGCCCTGCATTTGCCTGGGCCATCGCCCTTCGGAAGCCGGGTAACCAATCAGCCCTCGACCGAGAGGCACTACCCATGTACACGCACATTCCACACATGCGTGAGAGTGCCAGAGGTCGCGTTAAGAAGGAACTGTGACAGCCTTACTCTCAGCCCATCAGTCCGCCACTCCACACAAACACACACAAATGGGCAGACTGCGTGGACTGAGTTGAGGCGTCAGTCGGCGGCCTTCCAAGCCGCGGTGCTTGAAGCAACGTGATAATCTTTGACTCGAGGAACCGCATGGAGAAAAAGCCGAGAAGAACACTTCGCACTTAGTGGAGAGGCGCTGACTGAGTGCTTGCAATTTGCGCGGGTTGGTGATGTTGCTGTGTGGTGCAGGTGTTAGTGGGGAAAGGCGTGACGATGTGGTGTAGCCGGCGGTTGTCTGCCGCATGTGGCCTGCCAGGCTCATGTAGTGGTTGAATGTGCGAGGGCGGTGTGGGCAGTTGAGACAAATGCGTCTGATGCGTGTTGGTACTCCAGGAACCAACCTCCGCGCGATGGATTTGCAGGTGACTTACCAGGCAGATGTGAGAGGTGAATATGTGGGTACAGTGTGGGCACGATAGATCGGGGCGTCAGAGTCGGTTACAGTGGTGGTGCTGGCGGTGCTGCGGCTGATGGTGATGGGCGCGCTGGACGATGAGGTATTTATTGAGCTAGGAATGTTGAATGTGCAAGATGTGCTAGGTGTGTCGATATCGGGGTTAATTCCGCTTTCGTGGATACGCATTTGACCGAATAGGCCCATGCGGTGAGTGAATATGGAGGGGTTGCAGTGAGGGCATTGGAGGTGGATGCAGCCAGCGGAGATTGATGCTCCAGGCACTGGTTCGCCAGTCTCTGTGCGACAGATTCGCAAGCGACCGACCTGACTCATGTGTAAGGGAAATGTGCCATCGCAATGAGGACAGGTATGGACCGAGTCTACATCGCCGAAAGTAGGGGTAATGATAATGAATGTGTGGGGTGGTTGCTGTGACGTCAGGAGCGTTTTGGTCGCTGGCGGTGGTGGCAGAGGTGGTTGTGTTCGACGTCGTTACGGTAGTTGAAATAAAGTTAGTGGAGATGGTAGTGGCCAACGGCAGTGCGGCACGCGAATTCGAAGCAGCACTGGAGAAGGTGGACACCGACGTGGAAGTTGCAGCAGTCGCAGTTGTGGAGGCAGCAATTGCGGTCGTCGGATGGTTAGTGGATTGGGTTCGAAGATGACCAGCGACGCCGACCCGCTCACGGAATGTTCGTTGACAGCGCGGGCACGTTGGGTGGGGTTGAATGTCGATGTTGGAAATCGGAGGCGCCCGAGACTTGCGAGCAGTCCTTTTAGCCTTTGGTGGCAGCGATCCGGTTTGCTTCGTAGACGGCTGCTCTAGTCTTTACTTCTCTTCTCTAGACCGGTCTTTTCTGGGCGAGGTCCTCCCAGGTCCCTGGATTGATATGCGGTCACTTAAGAGGATTCACCAACGTGTCGTTGTGGCGTCATTTCGGGCCTCCCGGTCGGCGAGCACCGGTGTCGACATCACCATAGAAGAGTTGTTGCAGTAGAGGTGTATCTACCATCCGCACGATATGGTTGCTCCAACGTAGTTGCAGTTGCCCCAGTATGGCATGTATGCTGGGGTTTCCAGTCTGTTCTAGGACTTCCGTGTCGATTATCCTTTCATGTCATCTCAGCTTTAGTAATCTGCAAAGGCAGCTGAGATGAAAGTGGTTGAGCAAACATATGCCCGTAGGCAACTCAGTCGTGCTCGCTCATGGGGGAGGACTGTTGTATTGAAGTGAGGACACCAAATAAACGAGTTTTTGCACAGTCGGAAATATGTAGGATCTACCACCTCCATGGTCAGGAGTTCCCCTCCGAGACCCAAGCTCGGACTTCTAATCTTGCAACTCAGTCCGGACCAGTTGACGTGACTTCTAATGGCATTAAAAAGAGATGGCTTATTCACCCTTTCTTTAGTCTAAGAAAGCGCAACATCTGAGCGGTTCCTCTCATGGTAAGGTAGCTTACTCATAGGTGAGGAGATTCTAGTGGACCTACTTGACTGAAACGTGTCTCACGCTGACCAGCAACTCCAGGCGAACTCTTCAGATGGTTAGACGATTGATCATGAGAAGCATGCTAGATGGCGAGAGGTTGGACTGAGTCATCAAGGACATTTCGGACAGCATAGTTCATAAGAATCATCTCATCGCATTTTTGATTCAGAGTTAGACTGGACGACTTTCCCGGCATTCATTAATTGCAAAATTTCTATACTGATCGCTACCCAGTGCAATGACGCGTTCCAAAATCCACGGACAGGATCAAAAATCTTTACCGTAGACAGGATTCGTTTACTATGCGCACACAAGTTGCTGGAAGCGAGTGCTGACACGAGTGTGCGTCTTCTCTAAATCGGACGCACTTGAAGGCCTAATTAATGAGTGAGTGACTTGCGTGCCTACATGAGGCGAATCATCAGCGGTGGTAGACGATTACAACTTCCGGCGCCTCTGGGCTGACTTGTGGTGTGACCTATAAGGTCTACAGGGAGTGCTCAATGAGAGTGGAGTATAACCAACCCCCCTTCCCCAGAAGCTAAATCCAAGGACCGGCTGGAATAGTTTTTTGAGTAGGGTGAGAAGAGAAACCCAAAAATTGGCCTCTAAATTAAAAAGTGTCAAAAAATCGTACGCCCGCACACCTCTTCTTTAAGTGGACAAATAGACCCTAGTAAGAAGACGAGCAAGTTACTAACAATACCCTAGCACTAGAACAAAAGTTACCACAAAATGGCTTATAAATGGCTACTTCAATAATACTTGAAAACAGTTCATGCAACCAATGGCGGGGACAAAGTGAAATACAAGGAGTGTTTGCGAGAAGTGAAAATACACAGAATAGCAAAAAATGGATTACGCATGCGTTTGGACCTACACAAATAAAGCGGGTGTGACTAGTGATCCCTACAATGCGTCTTAACCCGCGCCAGGTAGACCTCGCAGCACTGGTTTTAGTATAGCTGGACTAAGCAAGAAATATCACATTTAGAAATTTTTTATTTGATACGACGGTTAAGCCAAAATAGGGCCAGTACCAACAATAAGCCTCGTTCAGACTTTCGAGATTTAGTCTCCGAGTTCATTTTATTATGCTTAGCTTGTACTGCACCTAACTGAGCCGATTGGTTAATTGCCACATTCATCCCTCAACCTAATCCAGAAGTTAACCTCAACCCTTTTCCCAAATCCTAGCCCTAAACCCAGCCCTACAGCAAGGCCTTAACCTAATTCGCAGCCTGGACCAAACCTAACCCCAATCCTAGCTCCAACTCTAAACCTAACCCTTGTCCCAAAAACTGTGAAATAATTATGCTAACATTTGACCTAGTCTAAAAGTGAACGGCACAGAGTCTGCGGACTGCGTTTTCTTTCCCCTACAGTAGCTTTCGCATTAGTTAACAGATTCCCTAGTTTCTAGATCAGAGAATGACCGAGTGGCTCACAGTGTAGTGCCGATATCTGGAAAAACAATTGTATGCGCGCTACATGACAAAAATACGTCGCTTCCGCTCATCGTTTTGCACTTTAATATCGCTAGTCTAGGCCGTAACCGTACCTTAAATTGCGAACTAAGCGTCCCCATCCACCTGCATCCTATATTTTGATTGGTTGAGTGCAGATAGGCCAATATATTCTTCCACCCACACCTCTGCTAGACCCCTTTTCTCACATGAGCCTAAATAATTAATTGAAATGGTGATATTAAACAGACATCTATAAGAATTTATGCAATTACAAGCCAACTATGTAATCGTATAGTTCGACCGTCGTCTCCAACGATGTCCACCGAGTGCTCCACAGCAAGGGGAAGCAGATACAGTGACTTGGGCCTGGATTAGTTTGTAGGTAAAGTGGACTTGCATGGCATCTAGCGCACTCTCTCCTCCCCAACTTGGAATGGCGTCAAGAGAGAATCAAAAGGGCTAGAGGTGGAGGAGAGCGCAGGTGGATGACACGGTCAAGCCCGCACCTTGATGCTTCACTCCACACCCCTTGGTCCACATAGCAAATGACCAGGTTGTTAACCAACAACAATAATGTGAAAGGCCGCAGGGGTCCCAATGTGCGCGACATCTGCCGGCCACTGGATCTGCAGCCGCACCCCGAGATGTTGGCATTTGTTATGTTACGCAATCCGACAACGCCTGCCAGAATCCGATATCATCCCCGTGTTGGTCTAGCGCATCTGCCACGTGGCCCGTTTGGGGGGGGGGTATATAAAATTCGTACAGGTTATTTGAATAAGGATACTGATAATGGCAAATTTCGATGCCAGCTATGATTAAGAGAAATTAAACTCAAAAATAGCTGAAGCATGTGAAATAAAATGTCATAATCATCATATGTAAGTTAGCGAGTTCTAAGTTTAAAATGAAGTGACCAAAACAGACCATGTCATTAATAAGTGTTCAAAGGGATAAGCAAATGAAATCGATAAAACGTTGCAAAATTTAATCCAAAATAATCCCAACATAGTTTTTTTCGATCTTTCGAATGCCGAAATTCTTCCAAAATATGACTCAGCGTCTGTAACGCACACCGTTTTGTGAGGTGCAGTTATAACATTGATAAAAAGCACAAATGCCCCGGTAAATATGGATACGAAGGAAGATTCAATTTCCCAACTGCTGCAACTGTATGTATGTCTAGGAAGTGTCCACTGGGGAAGTAATTTCTCGCCCACCTATAATTTATTCGTTAGGGGTACCGGGAGGTAAGGCCGTTTTTTAATATATGATAAAGAAAGTGTTTGCCGAGAAACGTCCAACTTTTTAATCAGTTATGTAGTACCCGTCGTTATCAATCACTGTTATCCATCTTCAAACTTGGTCTTCAGTGTCCTCTTCATAAAAGGAGGTTTTTAGATTTAGAGAATTCAGGGAGCCCAGTGTTGACATCATCAATATTTCGAAGAGTTTTTCCGCACCAGAAGTGACATGAAGGTCTGAAAAAAAATAATAATCAATTTGCGCACAACCAGGTGGATGGGATAAAATTCCCACTCTAGACCATGGATCTTGTTCAGGTTTTTGGGTCAAATGCGCTATCGCGTTGTCATTTATCAGAATGGCACTTTCCATTGATTAGCCCTGAATATTTACCAGAAAGGCTTGATTCAGACTTTGTGATTTTTGACAATGAGGGTTACTGTTACTATCCGACGTTCCAGTAGCCCGAAACGAAATATGCATGTCATACTCCACTTGACAAGATTTTATTTGGTATGGGCTTGATTTCGATGTAGGAACCGGTGTCTGATCTGTTGGAAGTCACTGCTGTTTACGCTTATTGTTTACGTGAAAAGTCAGTTTCTCATCCACAATGGTAATGCGATGAAGAAATGATTCCCCCTTCCTGTCTACTTGTCAATAAGTTACAGATTGCGGAACGCTGTGTTTTGTTTTCTATCGAAAGTTGACATGAGATCCAAATTCATTGTTAAAGGTAGCCCTGAACAAATAATCATGACGAGTTTAGTTTTTCCGACATTTCTTCGATAGTCTGAGGAGTATCTGTCTCGACATTCGCACGCAAAATGTTATCATATAGCATCACTGGTCTTCCAAAACGATCGACATTAGCGAAATCGAAATAGGGCGACCGGAATTTCACAAACCAACACGGACACTAGCGGACATCTAAAGCATTCAGATGGACACCACAAATTGTTTTTGTGGCTGTTGTTGCGTGGTTTTCTTTGCAAAATCCATACAACATACGACGACGAACATGACTACCTTCGGATTTTGTGTCTCCCGTTTTGTTAGGTTCAGTCTAAAAAACCCGATTTATTCCAGAATCTAAAAAGCAGAACCTAGCTGACTCGCAAAGGCA